ATATTTAATAAATTTATTTATCACCCGATTTTTGAAATATTTTAATGAGTTTGTTATTTATGAAATGTAATCTTTAAAATTAAGAGTTATTTATTGTTCCCTAAGATATATTACATGTTAAAGAACCGGAAATTACGATAATTTCTCCCAAGTATGATTAAATTTGTCATGATATCCCTTGTTAGTCCGCCAAATTTATTAAAGTGACCACTAGTTCATTGTTTAATGTATTTGAGCATTATGATTCACCAGACTTCTTAGGAATTATAAATTACTGTATAAAATAAATATTATTTCCAAAATAAAACCGGAAAGACACTATACATTGATTTATAAATTTTATGTAACACTATCTAGTTCACTTTACACAACATAATAAAATAATTTGATTATAACATAAAGATTTTGAATATTACGTTTTATTTACCATTTTATTGTTGGTTTTGAGTTTATAAATTTATTTCCAGATAATCCATAAGAAGAAAGAGATTTGAACACATACTACGACTTGAGGGCCTAAGTACGTTTAAAATTCGACTTAAGTCGGAATAATTACCTAATTGGCCGCTAAACTTTGTGTAAGGTTTTACGAGGTCACTAAACTTTAAAAATTTTCCCATTAGTTACTTAACTTTATAAAATATAATCTAATCACTTATTGAGTAATGGGCAAGATTACACTGAACACTGATGGATGAGATTATATTTTGTAAAGTTTAGTAGCTAACGGAGAAACTTTTGAAATTCAATGACCTTCCGAACACTTTTTCAAAGTTTAGTGACTAATTAGGTAATTTATCAATCTTTATATTTTTTTTAGTTTTTTTTTTGGTCGCCTCTTTGACCTTAGAGAGATCAGCGGATAAAATTGTTGGTTACCCCATGATTTTCTCTACGTTTGGGGCGAGAGAATAAAATTGTGGAGTAGTAATATGGAAAAAAATAAAAAAAGAAGGAAGTGCTAAAAAATATAAAGATTGGTTAATTACTTGATTGGTCACTGAACTTTTGTGTAAAATTTTTAGGGATCACTGAACTTCAAAAGTTTTTCCATTCGTCACCGAACTTTATAAAATGTAATTTCATCCATCACTCGTGATTACATTTTGTAAAGTTTAATGACTAAGCCCATGTTGGTATGGATTAAAACTTAAATTTTTATTTCAATTAAAGTCAACAATTATTTTTAATCACATATTTTATGAGTCTAACAACTTTTCAACTAGGCATTTTTTCAACTTATTATC